AGGCGAGATATCGCGAGAACGATTGCTCGGTAGATAGCTCGGGTGGATGTTAGATAGCGAATTTTAAATTCACCATGAGAACTTAAATAAAATTTGAATTCCGTTCGCGCTAGGAGGTAAGATATTAAGCATTATGATATCAAGTTAAGATATTACGGCAGCGATTAAGCAATAAAACAATCAGTGATAAAATAACAAAATTATCTAGTCTGTATCTTTCTATATATATAAAGAATCTAGTTTATTACCGGAAAAGATTTTTAATCTACAGTAACCATTAAAGAGATTTCAAGAGATTGTAGAATAATAATAAATTTTTTAAATATATCTAACAATATCATTAAATAGAAATTATCTATTGTTTATGATGTTTTCCGAGTAAATAATACGATCCGGTTCGAAAGCCTCTACTCGACCTCGGTACGTAATCATTGTTTGAAGCAGCGAAAAGGATGATCGTGATTAGATTCAATTCTAATGCAATATTATACCGCCACATTGGAGGCTGGACTGGAGGATTGCATGACCCAAGGGAATAAGGTCATTATCGGGCAAGCCTGAAATTACTGAATATACATTACGTATCGATGGAAATTACGTTTGGCCTCTCGTACAAACACACGTACGTGATCGCATGCAATCGTAACAATATAACACTGCGAGAGCCGAGGCGATTACTTCGTTTACACGCGCAAATTCGTGGAGATCCGTGAAGTAAGTGACACGGCAATACGACATCCCGAACAGATCATTATCAATTACGACGATTGCTTGCGGTATTGCACTGGTAGGTATTACACTTCGCACAATTAGAGTGATTGGGAGAATATCTATGCAACTATTATTTATATAGTATCATTTTACGGTGTAACAACATCCCTATAATTTACGATACACTGATTCAAGAATCAAATGATTTCGTGGATAAGCACGAGCATGAGATTTATGTTTTACATTTCGTCGAAAAATTCATCATAAAAATCCGTGTAATAACGTAAATGTTACTGATAGATTTGTCATATTTATGTGACTTTTAAATTTTAAGTATTAATAGAAACAATAGGACATACTTGACGCGTAAAATATTTTGTCTTTCTTTAAAGCAATAAATGATAATTCTATATTCTTAACCCTGTAGTTATCTGGGATATTTTTATATCCCAACAGCGATAAAATTGAATGAATTGTAAAATTGTTTTGCGTGGATATTGTTTAACAGATTCTTTTTAATAACACTATTCTTTACAAATCTTTAAATATGCAATTCCATCGAAAATACTATAAGAAAACGTTACATTAAATAGAACCTTTACTTTTTAGAAATATTATCATAATAAGCTTGTTTAATTTCTGCTTAGTTTTATCAGACAATTTTGACTAAATCCATATTTATAATGTAAATTTTCACATATTAATAATAAATCAGAAAACAGTCAGAAAATAATATACACTATATCGTTAATAACAGTGATTAAAGATTTTAATTGGGGGGGGGGGTGTAAAAATATTTCAGGCGATCCGTTTACGTAAATAAAATCAGGTGACTATTTCCGTGTAAAGGAAGAAGAAATACTCTCATCTGCAATCAACTTTGTACTCGCGATGGAGAAGTTGAAGTTGTTTATCAACCTAAAGTTAGCGATTCAGTCATCACGAAAATTTCAGGGACATTAAATCTTGGATTTCAGTTAACGCTGCTTACGATCTGCCGCTAAATAGAGTCTTACTGCGCGTAAAAGTCGAACGTGAGTGGCACGAGTAGGCTCGAGTTTTATAGCGGTTACGCGTCGCAACTACCTTCTCTCGTACGGAGGCATACTCACGTGCCTCCGTGCACCGCGAATTTTATGGGCCAATAAAAAGGAATATCATCCGTGAGGGGTACACTAGAATCACGATAAACAAAGTTGCGCGCGTTAAAATATCAACTAGCGCGTACACGTTGAAATCATCAGCCGTTTTCACCAATTAACGACAATGACAGATTTGTCATTGTCCCGAGATTTGTTCGTTATTATGCAGAGATGCTTTCTTATTTCCTGCATTTTTTCATTTCACATTTAGTATTTTATATTATAGTTACGTAGTGCCTTGGCTGCAGAGTAACTCAGCTGGCGCGATTCTTTATCTTTTAAGTGGAGAAAGTCCGAATTAATTTCTTCAATGTGCGCATACTTCTAGCACTCTCAGCTCACTCTAGAAAAGCGGATTTACCGTGTTACCTCGGGATATAGAAATACTCTTTACAAAAAAAAAAAAAAAAAAAAGAAATAATAATTACGCACAAGTCTAGATCTGTGCGTAACACTTTTTGTCGAAAAAAACTGATATTCATAAGCCGGTATTCGCAGTTCGTTCTTAAGACAGTCTTAATGATTGGCTTACGACATTAGTCTTAAATATAAGAATCGACTATGGATATCGCCCATAGTTCGGTTCTTGTTTCAAGACCATCTTAAGAAATGTTTTACGATGCCAACACGATTCTGTGATTGGTTTATGACGTCTCGAGAGACTGTACTTGAGACGGTTTTAGATGAGAAGAACTGACTATATCTACAAAATATAAAAGAAATATTTAAGAGAGAGAGAGAGAGAGAGAGAGAAAGAGACTTACGCCGCGACGTTGTTGCGAGGCGCCACGATTTCACGAAATTTCTCTATAATATACAACATACTCGATGGGGTCGATTACTGCGGCTGTTCGTTGCAATTTCACGAAGCTCCTGGAGAAAATTGAGCAATTATACGGTATTGCATGAGAACCAAGCGTCCATAAAGGCGGTTCCGCCAATGGGTCCGCGGTGTTCGGTCGATGGGACACCCAGGGCAGATTACGTCGGCGCAGCCTTACTTTGAAAATGCTCGTATGTATTTGTGCGGCTTGTTATGCACGTACGATGCACTTGCGCATCCATGTGCGCCGTATCATAAATCTGCCATGCCGTGGCAAATTAAATCATTATCTGGAAGCCGCGAGCAAATTGCGCCGATGCATATTCGAAGTCTTTTATACTTTATACGTCCCTCGTTTCTCCACGCATTGTGCAGACGCTTCTTCCCCCTCCCCCTCCCATCTTCGCATTCCTCCGTTCGCATTCCGCCCTTTATATTCTGTTACCATGATTTTACGCACGTTCGGGCGCAGCGAACTCCGCGAGTGTTTTCTCTTCTTGCGGCTCGAGCGGCGGTTTGCAGAGTTTAGCGTGTAGACTGATACACATAAATTTCAACCGAGAATGATGATAAAGAGGCTGCGGCGGCAGCCGGCTCGCTGCCCGACGAGAGAGATCGCGCGTTGTTTTGTGCCGAGCTTTGCGCCGGAAAATTTTCAACTTTCCGCGGCATAATCTTTCCTATATTTAGTTCGCCGTCTCCATTCCATCCAAATATTTTCGAAGCGCTTCACACACAACGGACGTACATTTCGCTTAAAAAGCGTCATCGAAGTAGAGAAATTGCAGAGATAAAGTAGAAGTATAATTCAAGCTTTAAGAGAATTTTCAATCATTTGCATAATATCGCATTTCGTATTATATACGAGTACATAGACGAATCGTAATTCCTCAATTTCCCTCGATATCGCACGCCAATAATGTAAATGGCACCGCCGGAAAAGACATTTCGAAAAACATGCTTACCAGAGAGACTTTGAGAGAGAGAGAGAGAGAGAGAGAGAGAGAGGTCTTGTCCAGTTGAATTCTCATTCCGATAGGTCTGGTTCACTTCGCCGCGACATTGACAAAAGAAGTGCATTTCAGATACGCGATAAATCACTCTTGAAAAATTGGCTCGTACGCCACAGTCAAGCTGTACGACCCGATTTCGTTGAAATTGTGCGAGCCGTTAGCCATGAGTTATCGCCCAGACTTATTAATTAATCGACATCGTTAACGGCTATCTGATTTTGATGCAGTAAGGAGAACTTTTATCATCAAGAGGCGAACAGAATGCATTTTGCTTTTTCATATATTATCTTTAAGTGGCAACGTCGTACGTATGTATAGCTGGCTGCAGCTCGTGGCAGATTTGCTGTCGCGCAAGAAAGACGGAAAGAGAGAAAGAGAGAAAGAGAGACAAGCGCGTATAATACGATTGATTTAGAATCACCATGGAGATCGTAGTGAAAAGACTTAACGAGCGAAAGCACGTTTCGTTGCCGTACGATCTTAAGGGCGATATGTCGCGAATGCTCGCGATATTACTAACGAATATAAGATAATCGCGAGCTGATCGTCCGCTTGATATATCAACTGTCGCTCACTCATGAATGCATGTCGTTCTCTTTTAGAGACGGAAACATTTTATCGAGCCGATTGAAACTTCATGTCCAGTCACCGACGTGAGCATAATCGAGCATACATACCCGATCCCGATTGCAACTCTCGCATGTCCAATAGTTGGTAATTCAACTAACTCCCGATTAGAAATCCCGATTCGATCCTCATTTCTTGTATATATCGAAGATACTTAGATGCATCTAGACAGTCGTCGACAGTACAGATTTTATCTCTCGTTAGACTCCTCGCTCGACTTGGAATTGCGAGAAATAGTGTATTAGTGCGAGGGCAGAGCAAGCACAGGGAGCTTGATTTCTGTCTGCAAATTGCAACTGACTGAATTCAATCGCGCCACGTTATGCCACTCCAGACTTTGTTTACTTCGTTCAGCTTCCAATGCGATTCGACGTCTTGTATCAGCGTGCAAATGATATCTTTGCGAGATTTATGACATAATCGACTTCTGTTTGCAAACAAGACGTTTAAAAGATCAATAAGTAAATAAGTTAAGGATGAACTTTATGTCACTGTTGCTTCCTTCCTTCGTCTACTATAAAAAGGTGAATAAATTAGGTGATAAATTGCATTATAATAAATGACAACTCTGGGTTACGCAAAAAGGAACAATTGGATATTGGAACGATCCCTTTGAAATTTGAACGAATGCGAATATCGACTTGTGTAAACGCGAGCTATCGGAAAATCGAAAGTGTAACTCACCAAACCGTCGCAAGCGGACAGAGCGACGCGGGAATTCCGATGGCCCTTAATGAATCCTCGATAATGACATTTGCTACCATGACTTTTCGCTGGACTGCGGACGTGCAGATCCCGCTTCCGTCTTTCCACGACCATCGCGCGGCCGATGAAGTTGTCGACTGCCGTCAGCTCGAGGTGGTACTCGTTACCGGCCACAGCCATTCGATAATGAACGATTGGTCCGTCCTCGTGATGATGATGCGTAACATTTTCCGAGATCAAATCTCCTCGGTGATTCACTTTCCGTGGTATTACGATCTCGTGATTGTGTAAATGCTCCTGTAGGGTGTACACCCCTGAAAGTATAAAAGAACTGACTTGACACACAAGAAAATCCGCAGTCTGCATCTGCTATGATTCCTTTATATTTCTTACCATATCTTTAGTACCGTAAAACTTGGACCTAAATTTTGTTTAACCTTTAGACAGCATCTACAAAATCGGGACGTAAGCGGTGGCGGCGGATTCTCTTTTTTTTTTCAAAGCATTTATAGCAAAATGTTACATACGCATATATATTTCTAAAATGCTTCATCGCAATTTTCATAATTTACAAATATTTTTTTAGTTTAAGAAAACTTCTAGATGTAAAAAAACATATATATTCCATTATATTATTGTGTCACTTGATATGCGTGCTATTTTGAGAATTATCAAAATTTAGGTCAAAGTTACCCTTTTTATTTTATGGTAACTAAAGATTTGAGCGAGTAACGAATTAAATTATGCACTGGTGGATAGAAAAGGAAATGCAAAGTACAATTGTTTTTATGAAATTCTCTTTAATTATCGTTATCTTTTAACTATGCGCGTGGTTTTTTGCTCGATTTCCTTGGATAATACATATATTACATTTATTAAGTGTTTATCGCTCTAGATTTCGCTCGAGTAATAAAGCATAATGTTTATTATATTACGCTCAAGTGGGCAGAGACTCGTAAAAGCTGAACGCTCGTTCGTGCGCAAGTACGAGGTGATGAAACCCGGAGAAGGCTGTGAAATACAATAAAAAACAACTGAGTCCTCGCGAAACAGTTGCGCGACAGTTACGCACCATAAACCCGCTGCAATAATTTGCGATTGATTTAGCGTGCGCTGCAGCTTAGAAAGGTGCCGCTTACTAACGCCCGATTAACGCCCTCGTTAAGCGTCGCCATTGCCAACGAGATAGATGAATACGAGTACCGGTCGGATTTCTTCGACACGCCTAATCTCTCATTGTGACGGTTCCGAGAGAACGTTTCGGAGAACAAATCCTCGGATATATAGACGTGAGATCGCGTCTCTTGCCGATATCTCACAATGACGGTTCTAAATCTTTTGCTTAAATTACGAGACACTCGAGAATGAATCGTTGAGTGAGTCGATATCGGAGAGAATTTACCATTATCAAGTGACAATGGTCAATTATCGTTGTTTGCTTTTTCCCTGTCTTGTGGATGTTTCTATTTTACTAAGTTTATTTTTACGTGTTATTTGCTTTATATATATATATATATATTTGGCTTTATTATTTTTTAGTCATTGCTAATTTTTGCAAGCCATTTTTAAGGGTCTTTTGCAAATGTTTCTCTAATTAGATATATTTTGGAATTAAATCTTCTTCGCGTTATTTATGCCGTTTGAAATTTCATACGTGTCATTTAAATTGAAGGTTCATTACTTATTTCACCGAGAGACACTAGGTTTGTTTTTTACTACTGCATTGCAGTGTACCGCATTAGAATTTTCCTTCTCGTTTTTGCTAAATCAAACACATACCTGTTTCACTAATTGTAAGTACAAAGAGTGTACAGTTCAGCAATAAAAACAGATCTATTAAATCTTATTAAAAAAACTGTAAATCGAACATACGCGCTCGCTGCAATTGCGTTTTGGAATAAAGTTTCGGTTTTTTTGCATTCCTGTCATTTCCGAGAAATTTACTTGCGAGGTCAATTTGCGACAAATCGTAACACTGGCCACAGCTTATCGATTCTATTCTTGACTACATTGTTATTGATGATCTAACGCTTAATAGAATAATTGTAGTTAACCGTATGTCTATATGGTGGATAGAAAAAAAAGCACGTAGTCGAGAATGCAAACGCGGTTCAACTGCCGCAATATGTCTTCATATAAAAGCCGTCTCTGACAGCGTCGTTATGGTCCCGTCTGCATGTCAATGACGGGCATTGACTATACGGAAAATGCCTGTGGCTGCTTGGTTTTGTATTTTCTCCCGCTAGAAATCAATTTACACTAGTTGAAATCGATTTTCAAAGATTGGAGATGTAATGCCTGGATGAATAATATAATTTATTTCGATGATATCAATTAAGAAGGAGTTACACATATACACTTATGTATACGTATAAGAAATAAAAAATAGATAACCAGCATGTATCCAAAATGTAAATTGATCCGACCAAGTAATTACGTAAATATTGAATAAATGAATTAATTATAAGTAAAATGCCTGTAAGCATCCGCGGTTATTAATGCGTAAATAATTTATTTATACAGGCTATAAAACAAAATGTATAAGCATAACATGGCAAGCGTAAGACCGTCTAGACCAATGAGTATGTTATGTAAATTAATACCAACTTGATGCTAGCTGCTTATTGGTCCAGGTAGTCTTACGCTATGCTTATGCATTCTGTGTGCTTTAGGGCTGTGGGCTTTAAAGCGATAAGATATAATTCGCAAACAGTTGTATCTACCAACAAAATTAACAGCATTAAACGTTTCAACTTTGGATTTATCTGAAATCCTCCTTAATGCAAAGGTCAAGTACAAAATTAGTTCAGTTTCTCATGTAGGCATATTACTTAGATTCTTTAATTTATTGGAGCCACAAAATTACATATTTTTATTTTTACTGAATGAATAAAAATCCAACAAATTATAAGTTGTTTCTCGATGTCAGATATGATTAAGTTATTAAATGTAATGAAGGGATTTTATCTTGGATGGTTGCAAACATTTCCGTTGCGTCTTACATAATCGTGTGAAACCTCAAGCAATATGGCTAAAACGTAGGTGTATATCATTGGCGTGCACTGCTGTCGGCAGTCTGCACCTAATAGTTTCTGCGGTTAATGGTTTTCTCGTGATCGCTCTAGAACCTCCATCGTGCTGTTGATGTTCCACGCGAACGCAATGCAATCTGTACGTGCGAGCTCCGGCAAAACGCAACGGATGATTCCCCACCTCGTAGTGGCGATAGCTACAATTTCTACCGTTTATCGATTAATTTCATCTCTACATAATATTAAATAGTAATCGGCCTTGGTTAGATCTTCCTCGATGCAATGCCATCCACTTGATATCCCAGCCGCGAGAGAGCATCGTTCATATAATCCGGCTTATATTACTGCCAACATCTGAAATATCTCTGAAATTCCGACGTTTATTTAAGCAATAGATGTGATATACGTTCGCGCCTTGATCGACTTTTAATACTCGTCTCGCGATATATTATATATACATCATATATATATTATATATAATCGTCTGTGTGAGTGAACACGAAAAAAAAAAACAGTTTTGCTAAAGTATTTAAAAATTTAACTAGCTATATACAGATCTGAAAATAATTTTGTTTGGACCAAAATAATTAGATAGAATGCTTAAACTGATTAGAATATTCAAACTTTTTGCAGTATTGTCACCAACGTTTAAATGTTCTACAGAAAACGGTTTTATCGATGCTTCGATAAAACCGTTTTTTCTCTGAAAAAACATTTATATTGCAATGAAATGCATTTCATTGCATTACGATATATATTGTGTACGACACGATGATGCATAAGTCATTTATACACTTCATTTTGGAAAAGTAGATCATTACCGGTTATCTCATTTAAAATACGTGGTTAATAATTACGTCTTATAATTGTGAATATTCAAGTTTATCTCGTTGCATCGCGAAGCATCTTTTACGCTAATTCAAGATACTGAACACGAGACTCTGAGTCGCCTTGACGAGACACTGGGATCGATCTATCCGCTTTCCATGCCTCGATCGCTAAGAGGTGGTTAGATAGGTAGATAAACAGGACTACAGAAAAAGATAGAGACAGAGGAGGGAAGGGGGGAGAGAGAGAGAGAGAGAGAGAGGAGAGAGACAAGTGCTGTCTAGTACAGGTAGTTGAACGGTGTAATCATCATTATCCTATTATCATTAAAGCTGGAAAAATGGCGGGGCGACCAATAGGCGTACACCTCCAGCGAGTCGGGGTTAACTGCAGGTGGGGACCGTCGGATGGAGATACTTGGACCTCCCATACAGGCTGTACCTACTGTAAATGTCTCTACAGACACGATCGCGGCCGTTTATACGTCGTCGTATATACGCACTGTGCCACTACTACGGCTCGTCTAATTGCATATAATTGATGATGCGCGCTGTCCAGGGTTCAGATAATTATATGCGACTTATGCAGCGAGTTATTAATTGGCTGCTCTTACCTGCCGACAATTAACCTCCCGGCGGTCGCGCGTCTGTACAAACTAGAGTAATACGAGAACTTCTCGTTGGATCATAGATAATAATTTTGCATCTCATTTCATAAAGTAACAAATATATTTTCGAAATGTACTTAGCATCGGAAATGTCCCAACACGCTTTCAGCTAGAAACAATATTTTTTTGATATATAAAATACTAGCGTTTTTAACATAGGATACTGCGAGAACTTTGGAAAAAAAAAAAATAAATCAAATGCCAATTTGAGCCAACACTGATTATTAGTGTGTATTTTTATACCATTTATTCAAAGTGAATATATTAAATGTATAAGTTTCGATCTACGGTCAAGATCCTCTTTAGCGCAAAAAAAAATATATTAACATAAAATTATATAATGATAGCGCATACGAGTATAAACTAATAACATACATATAAAATGCGAGAAGAACCGTGGTGGTGATGTCCAAGTTAATCTTGGTCATTAAATTACTAAGTTAACTAAAAAAAAAATATTTTTTGTTTTAAAACGACCGACCGAAAGGTTAAAAATAATTTAAGAAATGCTAACATGAGATTATACGCGAAAAATGGTAAAAAAAACTTACACGACTATCAAGATCGAACTGTTTCTATAAGGTTTGTTGTACATGTTTCATTAGACTGTTTCATTTACTGTACAAATGTGAATAAATTAAAAAGTTAATATAAATAACAGTGAAAATCCAACTTTAGTTCACTTACATGAAAATTTAAAGATATTAGAGACGACATAACTGTTTGGTAGACAGATGTAAAATGAAAATTGAGGGAAACAGTGGACAACGGAACATGTACTTGCAAG